TAGCCCCCCAGTCGCGCGCTCCGCCCTCGCCCTTCCGCGCCGGGCGGGCTCCGCCCGGGGCTCCGGGGCCCATGGCCAAGCGGCGTGCGGCCGAGCCGCTGACGTTCCACGTGCCTTGGAAGCGGCTCCTGCTCTGCGACTTCCCCGAGGAGCCGCCGCCGCCGCTCTGGATCCCGCCGCCGGGGGCCTCGCATCCCGGGCAGCCCGTCGGCGTCCCGGAGCCGCCCCGAAAGCGCAAAATCGACGCGGGGGCTATGACTGAGGCTTCAGCTTCTCCCAGCAAGCGCCGCGACGGCGGGGACACCAGCGTTCCGGGCGGCGTGGAGCGTGAGGGCCAAGGCCTGGAGACGGGCGAGCCGCAGTTGCTGCAGCCTCCCGTGCGGCCCCGCGGGCCGGGGGAGGAGCCCCGGGGCGCCCGGCCCCCGAGGGGCGGTGGCGACGACGGGGCGGGGCGCACGGAGCCCCCACGGGGAGACTGGGGGGCCGCACCGCGCCAGGTAGGGGCTGGGGACCGGCTGAGCGCTCCAGAGGGCGGGAGGGATGAGGAGAGAGGGGCTCACCCTTTACGCAGCCATGGCACGCACCGGGAAGAAACAGATTGTTCCCCTCTTGACTCGTGTTCATCAAGAAGCCCCAAAAGGCGAAAAGCCGGGAACCCTAGGGCAGGAAGGACGTGGACTCCCAGACTACCCACCAAGGGCCTCAGAGCCCTTGGCCCCTTGGCAGCGTTTTGGGAGAGTCGTGTGGGCTTGCACCTTTAGTGCCTGTGGTGTGGAAGAGGGAAGCAGGAGCGTGGGTCACGACGGACTAGAGCCTGATGAAGACCTTGACCGTGAACCGCGATAGGTCAGCTCAACGACAAATGGAGAAAGGGTAGCGCGCCTTCCTTGGCTTAATGATGATTTCTTCTAGAATTCGTGGTAGATTTCTTTCTAAGGAGGGTGACCAATGTGGTCTTCATCAGTTGGATGGTCTGTAGGCATAGTACAGCGCTTGTGGTAGAGAGGAAGGGCCTCCCTGCCTTGGGAACAGGCATTTAAAAACTCAGTGTTAAATCGGATTTTTAAAAAAAGGATCGTTGTTGAAAATTAATTTGGGCCCTAAAGTAAAACGTATATGAGGATCATATATAAGAGTTCCTATTCTTTGGGAAACGAGCCTGCCCCATCTCTGAGCCTGAGATTGGATTTGTCTCGAAGTTCACCGTGTGAGACAGCTGAACCCTTGAAATGTGACTAATCCAAATTGATGTGTGCTGTTAAGTCTAAAAAAACACTCTAGATTTCGAAGATCTCAAAAATTTTTATATTGATTGCACATTGAAAGGACTTGAAGATACTGGATTGGATAACATGTATTAAAATTTACTTGTTTCACTTTTTTAATACAGCCACTAGAAAAATTTAAATTGTGCTTGTGGCCTGTATTACATATTTATGAGACTGCTTTGGTTTATACTTAGGAATTCGGGCTGCATTTTGCCAGTTCTGGATTGACTTAACAGGAGCTTTGGGAATAGAAGTACCAAGTGTAGGGCTTAGAATTCACCAAACTCTTTCCAAGCACTACATCATAGTATTCACCTCACCTTTTTCCATTGTGTTCAGTATCTCTTGCAGAATTAACCAAATGCCTTTGCTGGGAAAAAAAAAAAAAAAAAAAAGGTAAATTGAGGTTCCTTTGGCATGGCTTCTTGGTGGAAAAACCTAATAAAATAATGAGAATTTTATAGTTGGGAAAGAACTATATTTCTCTGGTTGTGAGAAATCATCCTTCAGATAATAATGGACATTTCTGGTTGAAATTCTAAATTGTAAATATTCCCATCCCCAGTTTTCTTGGAATTTAGAAAACATGAGGTTTAGGAGTTTTTTTTTTGTTTTTTTTTTTTTAGACTTTTTTCTTTAGATTGCTTTTGGATATTCAAAATCTGCTTACTTAAAACTGAATGATAGCACTTATGTTTTGAAAACAGAATAATTAGAGTTTCCAGTTGTATTGTGTGTGTTGACAATGGCAAAATCTAAGAAAACAAACCCAGGATGATAATTATCCGGATCTATTTGATCTGAGGGTAAGTAGTGTGTAGTTTGAAAACTTTTACTCTTCGGACCATTTTGGTACCCCACCCGTATATAGGGTTGTCTTCCCTACCAGAGTATACTCACTGAAGTATGCCACAGATTGATAAGAAGGAAATAGGGAAATTATAGGTAGAGGAAAATTTTTGAGTAGGCTGACTCACCTTAGAATCTCTTAGACACAGCTGTATCTTCTACAGCGATGACTACATCTGACAGCTCTTTGCTTCCCAGTCATACAGGCCCATGGCAAGGACTAAGCTTGGCCATGGGGTACCTTCTTCACCAAGACCATCCCTGTTCCCTTTTCTTTTGGCTAAAGCCTCGTGTTTCTTCCTTTTGTTAGTTCTGTTCCATGAGCTTCTTGTCTTCTGCAAATTTAAGAGAGGGACATGTTTTCTCCAGTTCCTCTCTTTCCTTCCTGCTTCTAAAGATGCAGGTTTTTTGTTGGGTTTTTTTTTGTTTTTTGTTTTTTGTCTTTTAAGGGATTTACAGCTAATTACCAAGATACACGGTATAACAGAAACATGGAGAAGTTAAAAAGGCTTTTCAATTCATGCAGTAAATGTCTCCCTGGTTCCTAGCACTCAGTAGAGCGGAAGTCCCTACCTTCACCCTTGGGATCTTATTTAGGAAAAGTTTTCTCAAATATGTCCTTTCTACATTGAAGATTTAATTTAGGCAGAATAAAGATACCTTTTTTCTGTCCTAGAACCTCAGTATTTTTTGAGTTGTCTCATGTTTTTTTGTTGTGTTGGCTTTTTTCCTAGGTGTTTTTTTTTGTTTAGTTTTGGTTTTTTTAACCAGAGAAGTAAAAACCAGATATTACTTCATTAAATATTTGTGTTTTGTCATGATCGTGTCACTTCGTGCAGATTCATTTGCTCTGTCTGCTGATCCTCACTGGTAGTTACTTTTAATGGAAAGTAAGCAGAAATGTTTTCTTCCTCTTCTTAGGAAGACAATAATGAATGATTCATAGGTTTCTTGGGATATAATATGTAGCCATGTTGAGCTATTACAGTACTAGCCCTTAATTTGAAAATGAGTCCTGCATCTCACCGATGAGGAAACAGACTTCGATCAACGTCAGAGTTAGTGGATGGTGGAGTTATCTTGCAAATCCAGGTCTGTCTGGTGGCAAAGTTTGTGCTGTCCGCTAGTAGGTTACACTGATGTCCTTAAAAGATCATTTTTGGGCCCATGTTTATAAGTAGGTAATTTGGACGGTAGATTTTTTTCAAAAAGGCAAAGATACAACCCTTGTTTTTTAACCCTGTTTGTGTATCAAAATGAATTGGGGGGGGGCATCCTTTGAATTACTGCAATTTTTTTTTTTTTAATCCCAGTGTAAAGAAATTCCAGAGAAACTCTTAATTCTCTAGGTTTTAGTGTCTAAGATTTCCTTTTAGGCCTGTGTGGTCCAGTAAAGTAACTAGCCACATGTGGCTATCAAGCATTGAAATGTGGCTAGTCTGAATAGTGCTGTAAGTATAAAATACTCACCAGATTGTGAAAACTTAGTATGACAAAAAGAACGTGAAATATCGCATTCATTTTTAAAAATACTGACTACACATTGAAATAATAATATTTTGGATATATAAGGTCAAATAAAATATTGTTAAGAGAATTTCACCTTTTTTACTTTTTAAAATTACTTATGTGGCTCTCATACTTCTGATGGTTAGTGCTGTTACAACAAGCATGAGCCTAAAGTAAAAACACAACCTGGTAGAATAGATACGTAAATATTCATCTGGGCACAGTGTTAACCTTCAAAATGTTCACCATGGAAGCCTGTATATAATTCCGGTGCTGCTTCCTTGCACAAAGTATTTTGGGTATGCTTTTCACATTTTGTGTCAATCCTGAACTTCGTTGGAATGTCAGCTTCACTTCATAGTTACTTGAAACAATTTTATAGCCATTCAATCTGTTGAATTTTAAAGGAGCCAGCACTCAACTTGGATTTATCAGCGTTCATTTATTGATTTAAAAGTCATGCCTTCGGGGCGTCTGGGTGGCTCAGTCCATTGAACATCTGACTCTTGATTTTGGCTCAGGTCAGCATGCCAGGGTCTTGGGATCAAGCCCCGCATCAGGCTTTGGAGTGAGTGTGGAGCCTCCTTAAGATGCTCTATCTCTTTGCCTCTCTCCCCCACTCTCTCTCTATAAAATAACATTAAAATTAAAAAGTCCTGCCTTGCACCAAATCTTGTATCTTTGATAAAATAATCAGTTTAAGATTTTCTTGTTATTTAGCATGTTTATAATCTAAAACTTCTTGGCAAGTTTTCAAAATATTTTAGCCTATGTAAAGTCAATCCCTTAAAATACCAAGCCTCAGGGGAAAGATGAAAAAATAAATTTTAAGGTATATTTGTATTTTTAAAACAAGTTGTGTTCCTCACTGAAAGATAAAAATAAATTTATGAAAAAAAAATTTTTTAAATGATTTTAAAAAAAGAGAAAAAAAAATTATGACATTTTCCAACATTTTCTTTGGTTGAAAAATGGACGACAGTTATCAAGAAGATGCTCTTGGAAGACATTCTTTTAAACTACTAACAAAATATTTTCACAAATCCATGAGTATGAAAATGCACAGAGTTGACTGAGCCCATTGAAGTACTTTGATTAGGCAGAATTAAAAATGTACATTTGTTGAAGATGCGAAGTAAAAGACCCAAAATCTTCATGTGAGTTTGCTTTTAAAACAAAATTTGTTTCCTGGGGGGGGAAAAGTAACTTTTTCATACACCGATGCTGTCCCTTCATCTCTTTCTTTTCTCCCTAAAGCTCAATGAAGAATTCTGGCAGTATAACACCTTCCAGTACTGGAGGAATCCCCTGCCACCTATCGATCTGGCAGACCTCGAAGACGTCAGCGAAGGCAGCCTGCGGGAAGCGAGGCTTCAGGGCAAGAACGAAGTGGTTGAGATCGACATGGAGTCCTGACACAAGCACCTGAAGAATAGGTCTTTCGGCTTCGGCCTTTGAGGCGATCTCTCTTAAGTGAATAATACCATTCCCAAACCTGAAAAATGAGGAAGAGTTGTTTTAAAGATAAATGCCTGTGGTCACTACTGAAACTCCCAAGAGGGATTTGTGAAGGATCTAGTGCAGTTAGAGGGGAAGTATTTTATATATGTACTCTCAAAGAAAAATTCATGTTTAGATTCTAAATTTGAAAATATTGGTCTTCTAAAAAAGAATTCTGACAGTTTTAGAAACAGGTGGGAAATGCTCAAATGTTCCTCTTGTCTGTACCAAAAAGTTAATTTGTGGTACATGAAATGAATATTGTTTTTTACCTGTTATTAATAAAATGCTTTCTAGTACATCGTATCGACTCTTCTTAGTTGAACAAATAACTGACTTAAACATCTATGCAAACTTAAAGTGCGGGGGACTCTTCAAGGTGGCATAGTTTTAAAAGAACTTTCTAAATGTAAAGCGTAACATAGAATTTCAATTTGGGGAGCATGTTTGCATAGCTTCCAGTATTTGATATTTGTTTAACTCTACTCTGGGGAATCAAAAATGGATAGAGAACAATGAGAAGTGAAGAGGTCCTTCCCTCCCCCTTTTCCCAGGTTAAGAGGAAAGAAATTTAGTGGTATTAATTTCTTGGCTTTGAGTTGCTTTGAGGGCACGGTTTTTATTGCTTATTGCTTCAGACTTACAGTTCTCAACACTGGCAACACTTCAGAAATCTTTGCCTGAGTAGCACTCAAGAGATTCCCGTTTAACTGTCTGAGACGGGCCTTGGGTATAGCTATTTTTTTAGGCCCCAATCCTCCTCCGTTTCCCCAATCCTAATATGCCGACAGCTTTGAGAACCACTAAACTGATGGTAGTTTTTCCTGTTTAAAGGAGATAACATTTGACGTGAAACAGCACCTCTTAATTAGCTTTGTTTTCATTTCACTCTACTGATGGATTTGTTACAAGTAACTTATTGTGTTGTTGTTACTATTTCATTGTTAAAAAAATAAAGTAAGCAGTTTGTGTTTGAGTTGAGTATCAATGATTAAGTTAATTAACTTTTGTACTACATCCAGAATGTTGGCTTTGTAATAGAGTAACCCATCCTTGTATATTTTTTTGTTGTTAATGACAGTAGATCCCAAATTGAGAAAGAATGATAAATGCCAATGAGAGAAAGAGAACGTTTTGTGTATACTGTAGGATTTAAGTATGAGTTGACATTAATAAGAATATCCTAGAACAAAAGACATGTATTGTGGTTAAAAGTTAAGCCTTTGGAGTCAGACCTGGTTCAAGGGCTTGTACTGCCACTTTCTACCTATGTAACGCTAAGCGAGTTATTTTTCATCGCCAAGCCCTAGGTTCCTTAACTGTAAAATGAGAAACAATAAATAGTATCTACCTCAAAAGAGGCTATGTGTATTGTCAAGCAATGGACTAAGTACTTCACTCATATCTTGTTTAATTCTCATAATAACCTTATTGTAGGTACAAAACAGTAGTTAGAATAAATGTGCTTTTTGTAGTTATGCTTCATTCTACTTTAAATTGCCACTAGAAGTTTCACAGTAAGAATTGGAATTGAGATAGTAAGCATGGCAAGCTAGTGCGGGAAGCAGTTAAATTACTGTGGAAAAAAGGAAAATGGTAAACTTTCTTCCCCTTCTGTTTGGCCTGAGCGTAAGGAAGGTGTCCATTTTTGTTCACTACTCTTCCTGGTGCCCAGAACAGTGTGTGTCACATAATAGATAGTCCATAGAAATTGCACAAGCAAATTAGTGATCTTACCTATTGACAGGAAGGTTAATGCCAGCAGTTTTCTAGAAACGTATCTTACAAAGCTAGGCATTCTAGCGAAGAAGTGCATACAAAAGATGTGTTGCAGAGATCAAATAGTAAAACGCTGGAAACATAAAAACTGAGACAAGTCCAGCTAATGAACTACAGGAGGTGGTCATTTACTTTAATGAGAAATTTCATAGGATATTACATTGCAGGTTTGTGAATGGGAGATTCAAAGTGTACCTCAGACGGGGTCCTGGCTGACTGTTGGTAGAGCTATGTGACTCTTGATCCCAGAGTTGTGGTTCAAGCCCTACCATAGGTGTAAAACTTACTTAGAAAATGAGTAGCTCAGACAACTTTTTTGAGCATTGTGTGTCAACATACAAAACTAATGTAAAGAGATTCAGGGAAAATATTTGCTGTCAATATGTTGAAGGCTGAACATTTAAAAAAAATTTTTTTTTTTTTTTAGTGTTTATTTTTGAGAGAGAGAGAGAAAGACAGAGTCCAAGCTGGGGAGGGGCAGAGAGAGAGGGAGACACAAAATCTGAAGCAGGCTCCAGGCTCTGAGCTGTCAGCCCAGAGCCCGACGTCGGGCCCAAACCCACAAACTGCGAGATCATGACCTGAGCCGAAGTCAGATGCCCAACCAACTGAGCCACCCAGGCGCCCTGAAGGCTGAACATTTTTATAAAGGTATATATATACTTCAAGCATTTCAACATGTTTGATATGTAAAATATGAATTTATATGTAAAGATGTATACATACATACCCATACATATATAGAGAGAACAGATTTGAAATAACTACATCCTTTTAGAAAAAAATTTTTATTAACTCCAGATAATTTGGCAAAATTGCATGGTGGGTAAATTAAGATGAAAATTTAAAGGTAGATTTTTTTTTTTTCAGGTTATATACACTTCACCCAGTTTCCCTAGTATAACATCTTACCACAGTACAATTATGAAAATGAGGAAATTAAAGTTAATATAATTCTATAATGCTATTATGAAGACGTGGAAAGAGCGACTTCCGACAGTTCTTAAAAGATAGAAATAAAAAATGTACAGAATTTATAGACGATTCACATTTTACCATCATCCCGCTAACCTTTTTCTGGCCCAGGATTCAATCCAGGGTCACATGTTCTATTTAGTGGTAGCATCTCCTCAGCGTCCTTTAAAAAGATTCCTTGGAATTTCTTTGCCTTTCATGACCTTAGCACTTTGTACAGAGTACTGAGCAGTTATTTCATAGGGTAGCCCGCAATTTTGGTTCGTCTGCTATGTCTCATAGGCAGCCATCTTTGGTAAGAACTCCAGAGAAATGATGTATCCTCAGCACATCACACTGAAAGGCACTGCCCTTCACCTTGTCTTGTCATTGGTGATTATAACTTTGGTTTCTTGGAAAAGGAGGTGTCTGCCAGGCTTCTGTGTTAGAAAGTTAATATCTTCTCCTATATAACAGTTATCTTCTGGGAAGCTACTTCTGAGACCATGTAAATATCCCATTTATCATCACATTCTGCCCGTAAATTATCGGATCTGTTGATGATTCTTTACATGAAAGATTTTTGGTCTGGTGTATGTCAAGTGGTAACTTTCTCTTTCCATTATCCCTTCTACATCTATCCATTGGAATTCTATAAAGCGAGAGCTTTCCTTTCACCCTCATGTTTCATTCAGTGATTTATATCAGGATAGACTTATGGGCATATATTTTATTCTATCAGTTATAAATGTGTTATTTTGTTGTAGAAATTATCCCAACAGATTTGGCCACTGGGGGGCCCTTTGAGTTAGCTCTTGTGCCCTTCCCCATTTTTTAACATACTATTTATTGTGTGAGTACTGGTTAATCTTGGCAATGCACTTCTGCATTTACAAGGTTAATGGATGGAAATTATGCCCCGTGTGCACCACTGTGTTTTTCACTGAACAACCTGAGCCCTGACATCCTCTTCAGAAAATGGGGACACGAATACCCACCTAGAGGAACAGAATGGGGATGAAATGACACAGTGGCCGTGCAGAACCCATAATGGGCAATAAATAATACATGTCTCTTCCTCATAGGACATGAACTGCACATTTTGCCATCTTTTTTGGTAGGTAGACAGATAAATCTATTAGTGATCTCTGACAATACCTGAAATTGAGGCCAACACTAAAGTCACTTTTAAAGAATTTCAACAATTGTCTGGAGTCCACAAATCTAAACAATAGCGTTCTAGTAATTTATATTTACTTATTGCTGTATCTTGTGTCTTTTTGATACACCCTATGGTAGAGAGAATTCTAAAGTGGGCCCAAAGATTCCCAGACAGTGTATCATCCAGTCATTTGATCAAACACTAATTTAGGTACTACTGTGAGGAATTTTGCAAATGTAAGTAAAGTCCCAAACCAGTTCATCATAAGATGAAATGATCCAGGTGAATGGGACTTAATCACGCGAGCCTTTTAAAAATATGGGTGAAGGGGTCAGAGACAGAAGTCAAGTGCAAAATGTGGGAGGGATTGAATATAAGAACAATTCTCCTGGCTTTGAAGATGCAGGGAGCCATCTGACAAGAACCTAAGAGTAGCCTCTAGGGGATGAGAGTGAGTCCTGGCAGCCAGTCAGCAGGGAAACCGTGACCTCAGTCCTACAACCTCAAAGATCTGAATTGAGCCAACAACTTGAATGAAGATGGAAGTGGGTGCCTTCCCGGAGTTTTCAGAGAGGAACAAAGCCTGGCTGACACCTTGATTTCAGCTTTGTGGCACTCTTGAACAGAGATCCTTCCCTGCCAAGTGGGACTTCTGACCTACAGAACTGTGAACTAATTGATAGGTTTTTGTTGTTTTTTTAAATGCTAAATTTGTGGTAATTTGTTATGCAGCAATAGAAAACTAATAGAGACTCATTTTTAGCATTTCCATCCCTTCTCACGCAGATGTTCCGTCACAAACATTTCTCTTGTGATATCTTCACTCTAGTCTGGGAATCATTTCTCCAAATGGTCCTGGTTCTGTTATTAGAGAATGGTACTTAGAAATGAAGACGTGGGTGCAACATTGCTCACCAGTGCGGAGTATCACTGCTTCTCAATCCTCTCAGCTGACAAAACTACAAAATATATGTGTATACAACTATATGCATTTCTCCATCTGTCAGTATACTTGTGTCTATATCTGTATATATACTTAAAAAAAAAAAGAGTTCGTGCTGACACTTCCAATCCCAAT